TCATCAGGAAGCAGCCTACAGGTCACATGACCATCCAGCATGTTTCCAGGTCTGATGAAGGCCTCTACAAGTGTGACATCAGCGGTCATGGAGAGTCTCCATCCAGCTGGATCACTGTCACAGGTGACACACTCACCTGTCTGTGTTTCTGCAGCTTTCAACATTCACAATGTGACTTTTAGCTGATGTTCTTTATTTAAGGGAGATCTACACCCACACCTCCACCGTCTGGTTGGAGTGGCTCCTCCACCACTTCCGGCAGGAGCAGCCCTTCACCCGGCTGTTCCCCCTCTTCCGGCATTCAAGGACCCCCCGCGCGCCTTGTCCACCACCTCTGGCTGGCAAGGTGTCCCACATGGCAGACAGCTGGCATGGTTCTCCAGCGATGAAATGGAACCAGCAGGCACAGAAAAATCTGGCAGTGGTAATGCTGGCTGGAGCTGTTCAGGGCATTGGCTCTGCCCAGGCCGTGACAGCAAGGTGCAATCCTCAGCTGGCTAAATGAGTTCACGGAAGCTTCCAGAAGAGGACGGAGACGGCTGGGTCAACGCGCTCGGGCTCTCAGCAGAAACTAATTGCTCAGACAGCTGAGATGGCAAGGCAGAGTTTCCAGGTAATGCAGGTTGTGTTGGCTTCTTAGTCTCCAGGAGTCCAGAGTCAGCAGAAGGCTGAAACTCAGCCTCTTGGGAGGCCCTGGGAATGACAGTCTCCAATAAGGCCAGTTTTTGAGAAGCAGCTAAAGTCTTAATAGGATTTGCTCTCTGCTTTGAATAAGCAATCAAAAAACAATCCTTTAAATTAACAGGCTTTGAATAAACAGTCCCAGTTATATTTACTCCCTATATCCATAGGGCCAGAGGATGTGGCCTCTGAGGAAACAGTTTTTGAATGTACAATTTGAGAACTTACAGACACAGAGATGCTAGTTTACAGATACTGAAGAGCTATGTTCAGGGTTGACAAACTCTAGCGTGCTAGATCAGCTGCTATACAAACAGTCCTTGAGTTTGTTTCTGCTGATCAATGTTTATGCTTAAATCTTCAGAGCAGGGGTTACCACTCTGTGTATACATAGCTCCACGCACAGAAAGGGAGGGTGAAGAGCGGCGCTACAGCGCAACAAAACAGGTGAAGCAACTCAACCACCTGAATAGGTGACTCAGACCCCAGACTCTGCTTCCTCTACAGATGTCAGCAAAAGCCCAAAAGCACAAGGTGTGCAATACTCAGAGACATGGCCAAGGTAAGAAAGGCTGAAAGACGACCACCACTGAACAAGACACACAAGCTGAAACGTCAA